GGCGGGGCTTACGGGGCTCACCAGGCGGGGAGGAGGCGGGGCTCACGGGGCTCAACAAGCAGGCAGCCACTTTCTCTTCCTAGGAATCTTGTCGATTGGCCTGGCTGCTGCCTACTACAGTGGAGGTAAATAAAGCACCCCCCACACCCCATAACTTTTTCATGTGTTTAGAAAATATAAAAGAGAAGGAAAAACTGTCATTTGTGACTGTCCATGGGGCAGCGTTTAGGAGAGGCACCTCTGCCCCTCGATCGTTGTGGGCCCACGCTCCTCCACTGTTCTGGCACGCCCATCCCGGCCCAGCACCCAGCCTGCAATTCACTTCTTAAGTCTTCTGTGTTTTGGGTCATAAAATATTCTCAGAAAGATGCTCTTGAGTATCTGCCTAAGATCCAGCTGTGGGGTGAGGGATACTTCCCACCCTGCCACCATCCCTGGGCCTGCCCAGATGGGCAGAGGCCCCGTGCACCCCACCTGCCTCTCACATGGACTCCAAGGGTCACAGCTGGGTGGGTGTGCTGCGTGTGGGTACTGAGTGGCAGGGCCAGCAGACAAGAAGCTGCCCGGGGGATCCTTGCAAGCCTTGCCACTGGCCAGCATCTGGGGAGGTTGTGCAGGGCGGGGCCTCCCGTGGGCACGTTCCTGGGACTCACAGGCTGGCGCCCTATGTCCGTCTCCAGATACCCTGGGCTGGAAGCTCTTCTATGTCACAGGCTGCCTGTTCGTGGCTGTGCAGAACTTGGAGGACTGGGAGGTAAGGTTGGCTCAGGTGCAGGACGAGTCCAGGGCCATTGAGCCGCTGGGTGTTCTTGCAATGGGAATGAGAGGAGGAGGAAAGGCCTGGTGACCTAGTGCTTCCCCGTCCTGAATCCTTGGTCCTTGCTCGGAGGTCTCTGTTCATCGGGACTTGGGCCCTGCGCTCACCTGGGCCCACAGTTGGTCAGGGAGTCTCCCGAAGGCATTTTTCTCTTAGAAGCTCTCCATGAGACCGTCTTTGCCAAAGTGTTCTCTTCCCAAAGTTGCCACGATGGGGTGCGAGTCAGCTTTCCCCGTGGCCGGGCCTCCCGCCTGAGACCCTCATCTTTCAGCCTGGCCCACTGCTGCCCTCTGACCTCTGTGCCCTCATTTGCTCATCCCACTGCCCTCCTGCGCGTCTGTTCTGCCTGCAGAGCGGAGCAGGTGCCCACTGGACCTGCCCCCCTCTTTCCTCCACAGTTCCCAACAGGAATCAGGTTGCCTGCAGATGTCTGGCTCTGGCACAGCAGCATGTGGGGCTTCAGGGGTTTGGGTTCTTACTGGGAGGGGCCCCAGCCCCCAGCCCCCCTTCTTGATACCACAGCGGCCACAGGGGCCCCTGTTCCTGGAGGTCAGTGCATATCGGTTTTCAGGAAGCCGTCTTTGACAAGAGCACAGGGAAGGTTGTTTTGAAGACGTTCAGCCTCTATAAGAAACTGCTGACTCTCTTCAGAGCAGGCCATGACCAGGGTGAGTTGAGGGGAGTGCGGGGATATGGGACACAGGCGTGGCACTGTGGGCGTCTGGGTGACTCACGGGCCTAGGGGGGCCTGGAAACACTGAGGGTCCAAGCTCACCTGCCTGGTGACCAGGGTTGGGTCCTGCCTGCTGGACGCAGGGTCCCACGGATGCCTCTACCTTCTCGGTGGAGTCTAGAGCCTCCTGGGTCCTTCAGAGGTTTGGCCCCTGGGGAGGGTGGGAGGATGGGTTTGGCCCACCTGCGCTCGGGTGGCCTGTTTAGCCGTGTTCTCTTGCTGGCCCAGCAGCCACTTGTCCCAGGTGCAGTTTGGCCCCTGAGGGCAGGTCACAGGGCAGGGCAGGGAGAGCCTTGGCTGCTCCAGCTTTCCTGTGGGTTCTGCTGGACCTGCAGTAAGAGGCTGGGTGCTCTGAGGAACCCCCACCGTGAGCCTGGGCACTAGCCCAGCTGTGGTCAGCACTGGTTTCCTGTGGAGAGGCCTCGGGGTCTGGCCACCCATGCACAGCCCGAGGGTGGGACGGATTCGGGCAACCAGTCGCTGGGCAGTCTTGGGTTTGGTGCCACCCTGCTGCGCTGCTGACAGGCTGCTTCCTGGATCCCTGCAGAGACCTGGCCAGGGTACTGGCCCCACGTCACCCACGGCTTTGGGGAGAGGAGCTGCAGGCCCGGCCTGGGTTGTGGGAGGCAGCTGTGCTGTTTTCTGACAGCCGTTGGGGCTACAGGATGGGGCCACCCCAGTCCCTGAAGAGGTGGCTTCCCTGAATGGCCACAGGAAATTGCAGGGTGGCCCTGGCTCAGCAGCCAACCTTGGGGAAACAAGGAGGGACAGTGCAGCATAAAGATGTCGCCCTCACCCACCGTCGCGCTCCCAGGAGAACCAGCAGGCCGTGCTCTTGGCCCGCCAGCCTGCACTGTGGGCACATCCTTCCCACCCAGAGGACCCTACACTGCCGTTAGGGCCACAGCAGCCCTCCAGGCCCAGCCTCAGACAGGGAACAGCACACACTTTTGCCACCAACCAAGCATGTCCGTTGCTCTTGACGGCGCCAGTGGCCCTGGAGCGACTGCCGGGCAGCATGTGTCGGTGGGGACGGCTTGACCACTGACCGTCTGTCTCCCTGCAGTGGTGGTCCTGCTGCAGGATGTGCGTGACGTGAGTGTGGAGGAGGAGAAGGTCCGGTACTTCGGGAAGGGCTACGTGGTGGTGCTCCGGCTAGCGACAGGCTTCTCCCACCCCCTCACCCAGAGCGCAGTCATGGGTCACCGCAGGTAAGGCTGCGCGACTTTGATCTGGCCAGAGCTGCCGCTGTGTCAGGTGACTCCCGTTCCTGGGCGCCCAGAGCTGCGGGGCAGCTGGGAGAGACAAGCTGTGGACGGGTCACAGAGGGGCCTGGGCAGCGTGTGCAGGCTGAGGGCAGCCCCACTGGGGCTGGGGGGTGGGACCAAGCCAGGGAGTGCTGGGTCCAGTTTGGGAGTCCCAGGGGCTGCTGGAGGAGGGTGGCTGACGGGGAGGCTGGTGTGGGTATCGTGGCGCCCTGTGCCAAGGTGACCTGACCTTCCTCCTGTTGCCGGCCTCGCCCAGTGACGTAGAAGCCGTTGCCAAGCTCATCACCAGCTTCCTGGAGCTGCACTGCCTTGAGAGCCCCACGGAGATGTCTCAGAGCAGTGACAGTGAGGCCGGTGACCCTGGGAGCCAGAGCTGACAGCCCCCGTGTGCCTGCGCCTGAGCACCGCCCACAGAGCCCTCGGCCTCGGTCGGCACCCCCAGTTGAGTCGGCCTCTCGCCTGCTCCTCCTGCCGCGTTCACACCGCGTGGAACAGCAAGCTGGACCTTCTCTGAGGGGCTGGGCGGGGACTCCTGGTGTGGGAAGGGGGCTGCGACGTCAGCGAGTCCTCCGGGAATCGGACAGCGGCCCGGCTTGGGCAGTTCGGGGTGTGAAGACAATGGGCTGCATGGCCTGGACTGGACAGCGCCACCCTCGGCCTCTGAAACAGAAAGGGCACCCAGGCGTTCTCCGTCGTGAGGCCTGGGCCTGCCTTCCTGCAGCCGGAGGTCTCGCCAGCCCTCGACTCCTGCTGTGGGCCACAGCGAGACCTCAGACGAGTAGAGAGGCTGGGCCAGGCCCCCACGGGTGCTGGTGCTGTGCGATGTCCCCGACAGTGTCCCCTCCCTGCGCGGATGACCCCGGCGGTCAGGTGCTTCCCCAGGCCTGCCTGGCTGTGCATGCTGCGGCCACACTGTGGAAGCCGCCCCTCCCCAAGGACCCGCCTCCTTTGCTGATGCCAGCCTCTTGGTGCACAGACTGCTCTGTCCCAGCTGTCGCCACAGAAAGGTCTCTCTGCTCCACACCCTCAGCCTCAGCAGAAGCTGCTAGGCCAGAAAAAGGGTCAGCTCTTCTAACATTGTGCGGCGTTTAAAAACTGGGAGCTCCAGCCCGGGACTGCAGTGGCTCATGCCAGTAATCCCAGCGCTTTGGGAGGCCAAGGATTTGGGAGGATTGCTTGAGGCCAGGAGTTCAAGACCAGCATGGACAACACAGCAAGATCCAGTCTTTACAAAAAAAAAAAAAAAAAACCCAACCAAAAGAAACACTGGGAGACTTTCTGCAGAAATTGAGTTCCAGCCTCAATTGAACCTGGGAAGACCTGGTGGGGGGAGGGGGCTGGGCTCTCGGCTGCACCCCCGCAGGAGCTGAACCCCAGCCGTCTTGCCCGCCAGTGCTCTTGGTCTCCTGAGGTCCTACCAGGTGCAGTGTGCACCGAGCCTGGTGCCATGGCCTCCGAGCTGGGGATTCCTGGGCCCTGTGAGCCCCCAGGCAACAGCCCCAGGAGTGGCTGGTTAGGAACAGGAACGCCTTTGCCCCAGGTCTGGCTGCTGCCTCAGTGACAGCAGACAGGAAAGGGGTGAGACCCTCCTCAGCAGTGGCTGCCAGCCCATAGCTGGGGGACATGCTCCCCTGAACATGCCAAAGTTATGTGTGTTTTTGTTTTGATTTTCTTTGAGATGGAGTTACGCTCTTAGCTCCCAGGCGGGAGTGCAATGGTGTCATCTCAGCTCACTGCAACCTCTGCCTCCTGGGTTCAAGTGATTCTCCTGCCTCAGCCTTCCAAGTAGCTGGGATTATAAGCACCTGCCACCACAGCTGGTTAATTTTTATATTTTCAGTAGAGACGGGGTTTCACCATGTTGTCCAGGGTGGTCTCAAACTCCTGACCTTAGGTGATCTGTCTGTCTTGGCCTCCCAAAGAGCTGGATTAAAGGCATGAGCCACTGCCCAGCCCAAAACTAGGTTTTTAGATGGTTAAACCTGAGATGTTTTTTCTTCCTAAAATGAAAAGTATATGATGCAGTCATCTCAGGTTTTTGGCCTGTTCACCCTGGGCTGTAGGAAGGTGCTTTAGGTGAGAAAGAGGGAACCGCCCTCGCCAGGTCCCTGACACGGGTGCTGTCCTGGCCAGGCGGCCCCCCCCCGACACAGGTGCTGTCCCGGCCAGGCGGCCCCCCCCGACGCGGGTGCTGTCCCGGCCAGGCGGCCCCCCCCCGACGCGGGTGCTGTCCCGGCCCTTCCTCCTCACCAGCCCCAGGGCTGCGGTTTGTTCCTGGATGCAGCTGGAAGCTGGCGGCAGCCTTGAATAACCCTTCACATGTAACTGTGGCTTCCACTCTTTATTTCAGAATTGGTGTCATACGTCAGATCACAGAGTGGGTCTCTCTGTGCTGCTTCCTTCTGTGTTTTCTAGTCTCTTCCCCCATGGGGCTGCCCAGGGCCCGCAGGAACTGCGTGTGGACCAGACACTGCTGGGCCAGAGGGCACGATACCTACATGGGCCCCTTTTGCCCAGGCCGACAGTTGGCTGCAGAGCCCCCAGCGAAGGCACGAGCTCTCCCCTCAGGGGTCCTGAGCAGCACCCCCAGCAGGGCCGGTGGGCGGGGGCTGGGGGGCCGCTGCCTCGCTGAGGTCCTGTAGCAGAGCTTGCAGCCGCTGCAGGCTGGGGTGCACATTCTCCTGCAGCCACTCCTCCACGGCGTCCGGGTAGAAAGCCAGCTGCAGGGCCGCCTCCAGCTCCTGCACAAGGGTGCTCCACTGCGCCAGGAGGCTAGGGGTGAGGGCGCCGTGGGCACACGGCATGCATACTTGGGACCTGCCCTCAACCCTCTGGTCAGTACTGCCTCATGCCTGTTTACCTTGTGTAAAATGGGGCTACTGTCCCTGTCTCATCTGTGTTTTGGGAGGAACACGTCAGTGACAGCTGCACATCTGAGCCCAGAAGCCCACCCCTCACCCTCCTCTGCTTTCACTCTAGCTGAGGGACGTGCAGCAGTCACTGGGAGACCCACAGCTGCAGGGCCTGCGAGAGCCGGGCCTCACCTGAGTGCTGCGGGCTGGATGTGCTGGACCATGACCGGGTGGATGAGCTTCCGCTGGCGGTGGTAGGGGCTGAACCAGCCGGTTACGTACCTGGGCAAATCCACATACAGGTGTGCCATGCTACCAAGGCAGCCATGGGGCGGTTTTATAGTAATACCTCAGAAAATGCGTAAAAACTGGATAGGCATTTCTAAGTCTTACATCCCCCAGAAAGTCTTTGTGAAGGATGAGGTTGCCTCCTCCTGTGCTGGGGTGGGGGGGGCTTGTGCACCTGCCTTCACCTGCACCTGTCTCTGCCTGCCCACCTGCACCTGGTTGCTCATCTGCACCTGCCTCCCACCCACCTCCCACCTCCACCTGCCTGCTCAACGGCAGCTGCCCCCCTGCCCCCCGTCACCCACACCTGCCCCCTCACCGACACCTGCCTCATGCCTGCCTGCTCCTGCACCTGCCCTTCCCCACCCACATCTGCCCGCTCACCTGCCCCCCACCCACACCTTACCCACACGCTCACCTGTTGCCCTCCAGCAGCATGTCCACAGAGCTGCGCAGATGGAGGCTGACTTGTGTGACAAGGGCAAGGATGCTTCTGCCAGGGAAAGAGCCGGCCCCCTCCCTGCAGAGAGCCCTGCTGAGAACAGCCTTCCCCAAGGGAGGCGGAAGGGGAGAGGAGGGCAGGGAGGGGGAGGGCCTCGGGGTACTTGCCTCACAGGGTCTGTTATTTCCAGGCTGGAAATCCCAAGAAGGTTCTCCATTTTTGCTTTAACATCTTCATCAAACCCTCCTGAAATCAACCACAGGCAGGGCGGTTGGGGGGTCTTTGGAGGAGAGGCGGTTACACTGGCACTGGGACCTGCAGGCCTGGGGGCTGGGGCAGAGGCGGGCAGCACGGAGAGCCACTGGCCAGGCCCTGGCCCGAGTGTGCTGGCCAAGGGGACCTGGGGCAGACAGGCCTGCTGCTTCTCTTTAAACACGTGAAATATGTTCCTTATTTTTTAAAACAAGAAAACAGAAATAAGACTCTGTTGCCAGCAGCACCAGCCGGACAGCAAGTGGCCCTTTCTGCTGGGCGCAGCCTGACCCGTAGGTGTCCAGGGCTCACAGAGTTTGCCACTGTGGTTTACACAACCAGTGCAATATCCCGGAGCACCCGAAACAAACCCATGAGGCCTGCGGGCACTGGGAGGACACACCTCCCAGTGTCCGAGGAAATACTCGCTGTGAAAGGCTGGTGGCCGGAGGGCAGTGCCCAGTCACAGGGGTGGCAGGTGGGGCCGTGGCCAAGGGACACTGCAAATACCATCAGTATTAACACAGCTCCTTAGTGTGGGGCACGTGTGTCTGTTCTAGCATTTCCGCCCCTTTCTACTTGTTCTAAGTGGTGCAGTCAGCAGCTGAGCAGTCAGTCTGATCTCATTCTGTGTTCTCTCACTGGCCCACCCCCGTCTGGGCTGCCAGCCTGTGGGCCCCACTCTCAGTGCATAGGCACCACACAGTGGCCATAATTCCTGTGTGGCCGCATGGCTCACCTCGCCACGCCCCTGCGACCCCGAGGGGCACCCTGTGCCTGCCCCTGCCTGTGGGTCCTGTTGTCCCCTCAGGCGACCTGGAAGTGAACGCTGGGTCCAGGGCCTTCCAGGGCTGGAAGCTGAGCCCCACACCTGCTCAGCCAGGTGTTCAGGACGTTTCTGCAGCAAAGGTAGAGCTGCTCCTCCCCACGTCCGACCTCTGCATGCATTTCTGCGGGTTCACTGTGTTGAGGGGTGCACCCTGAGAACTCTCCAGTCTGCTTTGGGCTTCGGCTTGGAGATCGGGCACAGGCCTAGCCTGGGTGGACTTCAGGGCAGGCGGGTGGCTGAGCTGGGGTAGTGAGACTGCCCTCCCCCTGTGAGAACCACCACAGTCCAGCAGGGAGTTTGGAGCACTGGGCACTTGGCCTCCTGTCCTTCAGGTCTTTCTGGGAGGAGCCAGCGGGGCTTGGGGTGGCCACACCAGACGTACCCCGTAGAAGCAACTGCAGACAGGCGGCCAGGGACGGGACTCCTGCAGGGAGCAGCTCACACAGCACAGAGAAGTGGTCGTACCTGGGTCCATGAGAGGGGTGCTCAGCTCCACGGCCCCCCCCCAGCCTGACACAGGCGTCCTTAGAGGGGTGCTCAGCCCCACAGCTCCCCCAGCCTGACACAGGCGTCCTTAGAGGGGTGCTCAGCCCCACAGCTCCCCCAGCTTGACACAGGCGTCCTTAGAGGGGTGCTCAGCTCCACAGCCCCCCCCCACCAGCCTGACACGGGCATCCTTAGAGGGGTGCTCAGCTCCACAGCCCCCCCAGCCTGACAGAGGCGTCCTTAGAGGGGTGCTCAGCTCCACAGCACCCCCCAGCCTGACACAGGCGTCCTTAGGGGGGTGCTCAGCTCCACAGCTCCCCCAGCCTGACACAGGCGTCCTTAGAGGGGTGCTCAGCTCCACAGCGCCCCCAGCCTGACAGAGGCGTCCTTAGAGGGGTGCTCAGCTCCACGGCCCCCCACCAGCCTGACACAGGCGTCCTTAGAGGGGTGCTCAGCTCCACAGTCCCCCCAGCCTGACACAGGCGTCCTTAGAGGGGTGCTCAGCTCCACAGCCCCCCCAGCCTGACACAGGCGTCCTTAGAGGGGTGCTCAGCTCCACAGCCCCCCCCAGCCTGACACAGGCATCCTTAGAGGGGTGCTCAGCTCCACAGCCCCCCCAACCTGACACAGGCGTCCTGATGAGAGGGCTGCTCAGCTCCACAGCCCCCCCCAGCCTGACGCAGGCATCCTGACTTGAGGCGTCCCTGATCTTGTTCCGGCAGTGCCTGGGGCAGCCTGACCCCTTCCACCACAGGGCCCAGGGTTTCCAGGGCAGGCTCTGTGCGGTGGGGCTCTCACTTCAATGCCATTTTAGAATCCATATGAGTGAAGAGGGCCGGGATTCCTTGCTGCCATGCTTTCTGGAGCCATGGGGACCTTGGAAGGTGGCCGGTCATTGTCACTCCCCATGGCACCTCTGGCCTCTGAGAAAAGGGCTTCTGTTCCTGGGGGCTGCCCTTGACACCCCCTTCCTAGGGCCTCTGGGCTCCTCCTGCCCAACCCTCTCCCTCAGCCACCTCCTGTCCGGCTGACAAGGGTGGTGGCTTTTCCCCAAGGCCCCATGACGAGGGCAAGAAGTCAGGCCTGGCAGGCAGCAGGTCAGGGGCAGTGTCTGTCCCAAACGAGGGCTGGGGGCCTTGACCTGGCCTGGGGTGGAGGTCAGGGCTTCCCACTGCCAGGTAGGGGGCATCCACCTGCCTGTGCCTCAGTTTCTTCAGCTGTAAGTGAGGTGGGTGACAAACGCTGCCCCAGGTGTGAGCACAGCGAAGGCTGGGCGATGCCTGATGCCACAGCCCCCGGGCTCGCCTGAAGGTCGTGCCGCCACTCCGGGAGAGGAGGAGCCTCACCCTGCTCTACGGCGGGTCCTGGTCCATGCAGATGGAGCTGCATGCCAACAGGGCAGTGGCAACCAGCTAGAAGCAGTCCCCGCCATGAAATTCTTGAGCTTTGTGGGTCAGGGCACAGGGCCCCAGCAGGTTCCTGTCTCCAGCCGCTCGCCCAGCCCGTGGCACCTGTGCCACCTGCCCCTGAACCCGCCAATGTGAGACAGGACCTGAGGTCAGGACTTGACCGGCAGCCAGGGGTTTATCTGCAGCTCTGCTTT